ATACTGGTAATTTAACACAAAAAATGTGGCATTGATATCCATTTCAGGCGTTTGAAATAAAAGGTCAAAATAGTAGAGGTTATAAAAACAGATTTGACTCAACAATAAATATCACTGATTATGAAAGCATGCACCGACTTCGTGGTATTTAGACTATTATTAAGCATTCAGATGTTGAGGAATGTTTTCGAATCATTTAGGCCGTTAAGTGTTCACACTCTTAAGCGTAATTAAGCATCCATTAAGAACGTGGGAGAAAGTTTATGGACGGCATCAAGACTAAAGTCATTGCTTTTTTATCTCAATTATTGTCAATTCAGAACTATTTACCCTTTTAAAATGGAATACTGCATACAACTTACATTAACAACCTGTCAATCCGAATACGAGGATAATGTCAACTTGAATATAAATAATTTCCATCGGTTTCTAAAAAGTATGGGGCTTCCTATACTTTTCGTTTTAAGCTCGGTTTCCATAGAATCGCTCACCCTATCGGCTACAGTCGCCGACAGTTGTCGGGAAGGTTGAACCTGGTTGCAGACAAATCAGTGTGAATTGCTAGCTGCCCTGACGCAATCGGGAAGGCACCCTGATTCGTTTGCAACACAATCGGCAAAGTTGGACCAAGTTAAACCTTAACAAAAAACTGACGCCGAGAGGGTGACAGATTCTATGGAAATCGAGCTTTACATAAAAGTTGCCGGTATTAGATATAATAATATACCGTATGATTAGATATACAGTAGATATAATAATGCCTTACGTGTTATCGTACTGAATGCTCCATACGTTTCCAAAATCTCGCAAGTGATTTGGATAGGAATCGAACCCACTACCTCCAGAAAAATAGCCTGGTTTTTTTTACCATTAGACAACCAAGCTTGCATTTAGTTTAATCCGATTCCCAAATAGGAAGCAGCGGGTACCTCCTACCTCCCACCCCCAGATTTCTTCACAAGTATTTAGGGAACGTACCGGTACCGAGCATTCGTACAATATATATTTTTCAAGCTTAATAGCACAACATATCCAATATTTTGTTTAATATTTGTTTATAATGTGAAAAATACTTCTAGCCCAACTTTAAGTGTTTGTACCATAGAAAAAACATGATACATACAAACCTACGGTACTCACCAAGAGTCTGAGTTGTCTGGTACATTAAAGAATCGCTGTCACACTTTTTCATCTTGCTTGTATTCTAAAGTAGTCGTAGTATTTCAAAAAGAAAGTGAATGAATGATACAACGTGTTTTAAGTCTGAACGAAAGGATCGTTTAGTTCCATTGAAAACATTAAGCTGTAATCCATGATGCGGTTAAGTTGTGTCAAGTTACGGAGTGCGATAAACATTGATTGTAAATGCACGCTGAGAACGTAGCTAAAGTAGACAGACAACAAGTAAATGAATTTTTGACAGCTGTATTCATTCATAATCGTACCTAGGCATGGTTTATGGTCGATTTGTTATTCGCCCAGTCAGTTGTGAACGCCATCGACAAAGAATAATGTGCTGATTTCGTGTACTGTACTACGGATTGATGGTATAATGAACGGCGATTGGTTAAGTGTCGCTTACTAAATGTTTTGGAATCGTCCATTTCTTACCTAGGGATGAACAACAATATTAAAATTATTTTATAATGCTTGCTGCCACATAATTCCATGTTGCAATTTTCTGATTTCTATTCAGATGATTTGAATACGTTTCACTGTTTTGTTGAAAAAAGTGTTAGGATACCTAATATTGGCGATGATGTATATAATGTAGTGCTGAATGTACATGTGCAGTAGTCATATGTATTGTAGGCCTTTATATTAATCAGAAGCTCAGGTCTATTATAGGCCTATAAAAGAAGTAGTACTGAAATAGGTATACATTATGATGCGAGTACACATTGCAATTTCAATTTCGAATTTATTCAAAATACCTCTAAACAGGACACGTTGCAATAAAACGCTTTAAGGTTACGAACATATACGATATAGGCTTACTACAATAATTTAAAATAAAATTTACGAAAATATACAAAAAAAGGGTAATTATCAATGTAGCCTATAGGCCTACATACATACGTATTGCGTGTGTCCAGTGAATATTAACCGGTTTGAATTTGAGGCGTTCGAACGGCTTTATAGGTCACGTAAGTGGGTCTATTTTATGCTTGGAGTATAAAAATTAGCATTACTTATGAAGTTGATGTATCTGTGTATTTGAATTGATGAACGAAATAGAGACGCATCGTCTACTTCCGAATGATCAATATCTTGGCTTTATACATATATCATCAGTTAAACCAATCCATCATTCTGGCTTTTTAAATAAAACATTAATAAACTGTTCTCCACGCTGCCAATAGTTAACGTTCACCTATCAATCAATAAACAATTTAATTTTGTTAATCCAATGAACGTTACATCCTTTTTTAACTTTCTGGATTCGACACAGGTTTTCTAATTACCGTCTTTCAGAACAGATATCAAACCGGGCACACTGTGCCGAAGTGATTCCGAGATGAGGCAACACGACGAGTCGTATCGTGCAACCGATCGCTTTTAAAGACGATCCACTCCGACTTTCACCGACAATTAACAGACGTAGAGTCGTTAAGTGGTCACAAAAAGCGGAGTCGGATTTGTCGGCCGACCGTCTTTGACCGGATTTAGTAGGCCTCGGACCGTCGTGCACACCAAGAACTATGTCACGCTACATACGCCTATGTTCGTTTTATGCTTATGACTCAGCACATAAATGTTATTAGCACTTCGAGCTTCTTTTGGTGTTGCGTACACCGCAGATGGCCCTTCGACTTTTTAAGCTACGTAATGATAATATTTCCATCAGAGACCTCTTTTCTTTATACAATAATAAGGAACTTATTTGATGAAAGGGAAGTTGTATAAAGAGAGACTAGTGGTCTTAGATCCGTAATGATATCGTACGGGATTCTGTGGTCTAAACGGCATGACGCTCGCTGAGATAGCGAGAGATTGCGAGTTCGATTTCCACCAGAGACATATTTTGTTTTCATAAACAACTACCGTATACTTTCGTTGATGAACTATGTTTGATACGATTTTATGATAATCATGCGCCTATATTTGAGCACTGTATTATAGTTTACTAACAAAAAGTATAGGCCCTATATATACGTATAGCACGTGCTACGCAAGGTTTGGCGCATGGAAGGTGCATGTGAATTGAGCTGTGTAGCCTAATAAGGTAAAAAAATAAGGTACAGTACAGTACACCATTCTTTAACTGGCTGAAATTGAAAATAACAGATCTCGAAAATAAATTGTTCCCAAAATTTAAGAATGAATAAGGAGTAAGAATAAAAATGGAGTATACTATATACGGCATGAAGTTGCCAATAAAAAGTGGTCTAATATGGACTTGCTACATGTATAAGGAAAGGTGTGCTGTATAATTTGTTCATTGAATTGTATACAATTTTGTATTGTAATATTTACATTATTATGAGTCGATATCACTGCATCATCTAATGCAATTATATATCAGTATCAATTGTATATCAGAAAATGCCTGTAAAATATGATTATAAGAATATGAATTTGTATATGTACACTATTATGTCTTCATTATATCTACATATAAAAAGGTCAGTGAGCAATTTGATCCTTACAATTTGACAATGATGCAAAAAAATTAACTATTGTGAGGAAAATATTTTACAAATAATTTCTATAGTATATTATTAGATCTTATATGATTTAGACCATTTATTAGTTCAATGTTTTGACATTGTTATCAACAATTTTTTTGTGTGGAAAGGAAGCAAGGAAATAAATGTGTGGTAACTCTACAAAAGAGAAAAAGTGCAGGTGAACTACTATGCTTTTATCATTATTTTTAATCTAAGGAAATTAGGTGGTTTATACGTTCATCAACCACTAATCTTCAAACAAAGCACACACAGTAACATGCAAAAGAGAAGGGAGGGGGTGGCATCGACGAATGATGATAGTGTACAGGCCTGTACACATTTCAATCTTTTTCTGGAACTGATGTAAATATCATTTTGCAATGTGCGTCAGATTTTATCGATAAATAATTATTCTTTGAATCTGGCCTTTGAAAATCTGACAAAGTACTTATATAATCCATGTTACGGCGACTGAAGTGAAGCCTAGAAATTAGGTCACGGAGAATTAGAAATATTTATAGAAATGTCAAAAGTGAAACTATATAGGCCTATCAGCTGCATCTTCATTTTTTCGCTATGAGCCACATGGCGAAGGCTTTAAGCTAAACGAACATTTAGACGAATGCTTGCCAACGATATGGTAACATGTACATTTCACACTACTCCACCATTTCAACGATGATTCAATCCATTTATCACTAATAATACATTTCTCTCTTTTCCATTTCTTTATGTTATTAATTCTAAAAGAAAAAAAAAATCACAATTTTATTCAGAATTTAGATACAAATACATTGTTTAAACATAGTTTGTGTGATTGTAAACGATGTTTTTGTTTCCGTAATCGTAATGGGTCATTTTATTTATCTTGTTATATTTCTGTCTTAGTGTAATTTTGTGTGAAATTAACAGGCATACAAATAATACCTTGCCTTATTCTTCTACATAAATTTGGCACGCAATAAATACACTGTAAGGAAAGAACGTACATTGAGGTGAAAGAGGTTTTTTTTTTTTTATCTTTTTTATTGTTTTGGGTCAAGTTTCGTTTTTTAAATTTTTAATTGTAGCCCAATAGGCCTATTGTCTGTCTTATAGTGTAAATGTGTTTTATTTTTTTTATGTGGGCGCACCTTCATTTAAAATGTGTGCCACTGATACAGAAGTGTAGTTTACTAATAACAGATAGGCTATGCGTCAAAAGTAATACAATTAAAAGATACCTGGGTTGAAATTGTGTCCCAACTCACTAGCACTCACGCAACAAAATCATAACTAGCGCCATCTGTCGTCCGTCCATGTAATGTCTTGTATTCCCATCATACCTTTTAACATCCTTTCTAATAAGGCTGTCGTCGAAGCCTCTGTTAGGTAGGAAAATATGAGACAAAAATCCTTACATATCTCATTAATCGGCAACTTTAATGTAATAGATGATTATCTTATATATAAAACAAATGTGTTCCGTTTGTTATTTTTATTAATTCAATGTTAAATAGTGTATTCACCGTTTTATGTGTATTTTTAATATGCCTCCATAACAGTGAACACTGTCGTTTGTTAATTTTGCATCCAGGCCTGGTTGTATTCCCTCGGACATGTCTCTAGGCCGTAGGCAACATTCATTACATTAGAATGTGGTCTACATGGTATCATAACAAGTAGTGTCACTACACATTCTACTAGGCTGGTACTGTTTCTAAAATTTGGGCCTAGCCTAGTTTATGGCCCAGGCTTCTCCACCAAACCTATTTAGCCTAGGAGCAGGCCTAGCCTAGTAGGCCTAGGCCTAGCCTAGCCTCACCAAAGCATGGGATGTATGTCTAGAGGTTAGAGAACTTGAGCCTATTGTCTGGTATTCCCCACACTGGCCTTACTTTACAGTCTGGACTAGCTAGTCTAGACCTTTCTCTAGGCACTTCACTCCCTAAAACTAAAGTTCTAATGTTATTGCTTTGTTAATGGGCCTTAGGCTTATCTATTAGGCCTATTAGGGTGGCTATGAAAGAAAAAAATAACTAATTCAATAAACATCAGTTAATAAATGAAGCAGCATAATAAATCCATTCCTAAAACCTCTTGCACCATTTGTCCCCTGAAACCTTGCAGTGACAACTTGCTGGTCATTTACAAGAAGAACTGGCGTAGCGTGCATCCACAATGTTTAGCCAAATATTTATATATGCTCTCATTTGTTTTCTACTGTAGCCATGGGCAAGTTTATGAAACCAGGACGTGTAGTCCTAGTACTCGGAGGCCGATTCGCTGGTCGCAAAGCTGTGATTGTCAAGAACCACGATGATGGTTCATCAGACAGGATGTACGGCCACGCCCTTGTTGCTGGCATTGACCGTTACCCACGAAAGGTAACGAAGAGAATGAGTAAAAAGAAGACGAAACAGAGGTCAAAAATCAAGACATTTGTCAAGGTCTTCAACTACAACCACCTTATGCCGACCAGGTAACCACATTCAAAACATTCAAAAAATTTTATTTTTTTAGACGCGTGGCCAAAGATTTTCAATAGCATCTATATAAATGTCATACTTTTAGTAGCATTCTTTTTCAAAAATCAAATGTACACAAGGTGCTTTATACAAAACTAAGTGTCATTGTGTGGCTTTAGGAGTAAGTTGTGTTGCCATGAGAAAAATTCAAATGCTATAAACTTCACTCCAACCTGTATCTGTTTTGACAAAGTGATGATGCAAAATGCATAGTGTAAAATTGTTTATCTTGACAATAATTTACCATACCCTTGTACCATTCTCCAAATTATGTACCCCTCCATCTAAACAGAGTTCGTAATTATGAAAATTTGTGGAGTTCCAAATTTTCATAGCATCTCAGTAGTAGATGGTAGGCCTATGCTAGATAGTATACAGGAATAGGTAGGCCTTGCCATGTCATGAAAGATGACTTGGATTTTACAGTTTACTGCTACAAAATAATACTGTACAGAAGCCAAAATTTCATCTGTGCAATATTTTATTTCACCATTAATAGCAAAAACTGATTGATATTTCTTGCTTTCAAGAAGGTTTATGTCAGTTTGTTGGTTTAAACGTTTTCTTTCTTAGCTGATATAGTATCATTTTATATTGTTATAAATCGATAGTTTGTAATTGGGAGATTTTACTGTATTTACTTTAATAATATAGATACTCAGTTGATGTTTCCGTCAACAAGAATGTCGTCAACAAAGATGCTTTCAAAGATCCTGCTCAAAAGAAGAAGGCACGAAGAGAAGTGAAATCTAAATTCATTGAAAGGTATGTATACATTGGATAGCTCACATTGTAGATACCATTGTACATACGAATAATTAGTTTTGGTCTGATTTTATTCTAAAGCTATCTTTCTCTTGTTTAGAAAACGGTTTTCAGATTTAAATACAGTCAAACTCGCCTAAGTCGAATCTAAAGTGCCACTGAAATATAGTTCGACTTAGATTAAATTCGACTCATATCACAGTAGCAACTTGACTTGGAGGGTTAAGCCTTAGGGAGACCCGAACAAATTAACACAACTGACGGTACACGCACGATGTTGACCGCACATTTGGCCTAGGCCTAGAACTGTAGAAGTAAAGGCCTAGGCTACCTAAACTTACCTTGAAAGAGTATTCTTCAGAGTAGCTATACATTACATTAATTCTTCAATTATTACAGTATATTTAAACGTTTTGTTACTGCTTCTATGCCATTCTTTTAAATACGTTGTAAAGAAAAGTCAGTCAATACTTAAATTAAAGCTTAATCATATTTATATTTGATAAACTACTGTAACAATTAATAATTTATTTTTGCATGGCCATCAAGCGAACACGTTTTAAATACGATAAATTTGGTTGGAAAATCCCAAAGACCAAACCAATACTTGAAAGTCTTTAATATTATATTTTCAAATCGTAAGTAAACCAGATGTGTATACCCCGCCGCAAAATGGACCACTACTCATGCACGTGCTTGCTTCTCGCTGCACCGCGAGGAGAGCAGGCGATGCTCTGCAGATAGTTTGTATGCAACAAAGATCGGGTTGAAGATAAAACTACAGTAGCACTTTTGTTTTATATGACGGGTTATTCCCTATACCTAAATTCCATCAGACATCTATTTTACAATAACTGTACGTATCTTACAATACAATTTAATTTACTGTATTTAAAAAAAGAACTAACAAAACCTGAAACAGTGCTTATCGATGTTACCACATGTCTGAACAATAGTGAGGAATGTGAGTTGAGTCGCTTGTAAAGTAAACTACACAATGTACCGCTATGCAATGTAAACACGAGTCACATGTTAGGCTTACTTAGCATGTGAATTTCTGCATTGATAATGTATGAGTCACTTGTTGTTCAAATGATTGAAGTTCTATGTGAAGTTTTTGACAAGTTTTTACGTCAACCTTCGTTTTTATCCAACTTAAATTTATTCGAGTTAGAGCATATATTAACCATTGTAAATATAGGGAAGATGAAGTGACATGAAAATAATTTTGACTTAGGCACATTCGACTAAGGGGAGTTTGACTGTATTTGTATGCTACTTTATTGCCTGCTCCTGGTCAAAAAGCGATTCTGTTTCACTTGTTTGCCCATTACATAGTGCAGTTCTGTTCATTTTTGAGATAGATTAGGTATTCCCAAGTCTACAATCTGCAGATCTGTAAAAAGTTAATTTTTTTTTGTGGCTAATATGATTTAACATCATCATAATTTTTATATGCATCATAAATGGAGAAATGCCAATATATGACCATGCATGTTTTTTGTTTTCTTTTGCAGGTACAAGACAGGCAAGAACAAGTGGTTTTTCCAGAAGCTGAGGTTTTAGAATGCTCTGTAGATATTGTAATTTGAAGGCTAAATAAAAATAACGGGAAGTGAAGATGCATTGGTTTGGTTAAATTTCTTTGTCGTCCATGTCACTGTAGTGTGTTAGTTATGCAAGTTCAGTGTGTCATGATTTTGGGAGATAAGAATTAAAATGCCAAAGAAAGTTTTTTCATATTGTTTTTTATCGGCGTACGTGAATATACGACACAATTATTAAAGTAGGTTCTGAATATCAGGGAATTTTTTACATATTCTCCAAAATTTTGAACATGTCTATAAATTCAGATTAGTATTTTTCGCTGTTCAAAGAAAGGCCCAAGGAAATCTACTACACTCTTAAATTCAAGACAAGTTCAATTGCTTTCGATATTTCAGTAATCTATTAGCTGTCAATAGCTGAAAACTGGAACAATTTTTCTTGCTAATTAACAAATGTTAAAATGTCACATATCCAATACTCTGCAAAAACCTTTAAATTTAAGGGTTTGTATTTTTTGTGTAGCACTAGCAGTATGAATATAATATTTGAGCGTTGCATTTTTTCTTTAAATTTGGTAAACAGACCAATAGATGAGGCAAGTGAAACGAACTTATTTGCAAACATCGAAATTATATAGCCACTGTAAGTCTGTACAGTACATAAACATCAAATGCATATAACACACCCTTCTCATTAATATACAGTTTATTGACACTTAAAAGCACACAAAGATTTTTGATCTGGGGGTGGGATGATTTTACTCCACAAAAAATTCTGCAACATTGAGTCCAAGAATGACTGGTTTTGACGAAAATTATGCATTGAATGAAATACAAACTGAAGGTACATATCCAAAATCAATGGAGTATTAAACTTAGTGCCAGTAATATAATCATACAACTAAAAAATATGATCAGTTCCTTTTGTAAATGAAGGCAGATGACAAACGGGGCAAGTTCTCTACATGCCTATCAACTATGTTAATAATTTTAAAACCCCCCTACCACCTTTATAGTGCTAAAAGTTGTACCACTCAAACTTTACTATATATATTTCTTAAACTCGTTTTTCTCAGCTAACTATAGTTGAAGTTCTAAATTTCAGAATATTTTAACACTTGTGCTTTACTACTTGTATAATTAATGGTAAATGTCATATTATATTGCAATAAAAAGTTTGATATTGGACAACTGATAAAATTGCCGCATATAAAATCTTCATAAATGTACCACTGGACTTTCAACATGATTACCTGTTGGAATAGACTTAACAAATATAAAGCTCTTCACTAATGACAACTCATTCCAAGGTCATACATTATTAGGTTCAAATAAGTTCTCATAAGCATTATTATTCAAACTCTCTACACTAAGTACAATTTTAAGTTAAAATAATAAATTATTAATAAAAGGTGCAGAAAAAGATTTGAAACCATCAGAATACCAATGCTTTATACTAACACAATGGTCTTGTAACCATGAAAATAACTGAAAATAATGCAAGTTACATAATTGAAGATAATTTCCTGGTAGCAAAATTTGTTGGAAAGCTTATAAAGATATACAGTATTCTGTAAATTCCCAAAACATCAACTGTTTTATATATGGCTCATTTTGTGTTGGCAAGAAACACTATGTCGCAAAATGCTGATACCAATATCTAGCACATGTTGAAAAACAATTAAATTGTTAATCTAATTAGAATGCTATAACAAAAAAATCTATTAAGAGATTCAATATAAGAATAACAAATAAATATATATTTATAATATAACTCATAGGGGACAGTACATGTTATTGAAATCACCAACTCTTGTGGTGATTTCTGACGTTCACAAAAACATAATATTAGCAGATATAGTACGGAATATCCATGGAGATACACTCATTCCTTCATGATATAGGTTATATTATCAATAGCAACCATTTGGAAAACTGCTCATTTCTTCAACTTCTGCAATCGGGCATCAATGCTTTTGCAATTGCTTTGTATGGCAGCCATATTGGATGCAAATGAGTTTTGAAGCTGAAAGAAAGAAAATAAAACTATAGTCAAGAACATTACATATGCATATCTGGTTTAATTTCTATATTTTTTTTACATTACCTTTTAGGCAGTGGCTATTGTAATACCTGTCTTAAATATGTATTTTCCCCTGAACGTGATTTCCATGATGTTTTTATTTTTAATTTTCTTTTTTGTATTTTGCATGGGATATCTTTAAATTATAATTAAATGTTTTGTCCAAATCCAATACATTCCATAACATTTTTTTGTTTAAGACTGGTGTAAAAATAACCACTGCATACATTTTATTTTTCACACTAAGGCTACCTGGTATCAATGCTACTGAATAATATTTCCAGGTTGTAATCTTCCATTCACCAACACAATCCATTTTACATTTCACTAATTTCTCCACATCAAAATAAAAAATTACACAGAAAAACAATTCATAATGAGCTGATTGATTTATATAGTAGTAGGTGAAGCCATGTTAGTCAGGTAAACTTATAACATAAAACACATAACAATTTATTAACTTTTAACAATTTATTACACAATCATTTGCCAGAATCTATGCTGCAGTGAACCTGATGAAGTCAGTATAGACCTCTGGTGAAAGCTTGAGTAATAAATAATTTAAGTCATTATATTCAACTCAATGTAACATTTATTGAATACATTCATTGTGCAACCTGTTTTTTGAGGATATCAACTTTCAATGTAAAATTTGAATACAGTAGCTGAATTTAAACAGATTATATAATTTATCAACTTCAACATCAAATTCATCAGTGAGACCAGATTGGAAACAATTGCATATTTAAAGACTTAAGGGTCCAAGAATATGGAAACATTAATTTTGTTATGTACAGTATCTCAGTATCTAAGATATTTGTTTTAATATTCAATTGAAAGGTAATTAAACATACAATGTACTCCCTTTACACCTGGCCGCACGCCTAATCCTAATAAATTAATTTGCTCTGTTTGTTTTACCTCAAGGATAGCCCATACTGATTAAATTAAAAATTGAATTGGGAGGAGAAAAAAAATATATAATTCTTACTTCTTTGAGTAAAGTCTGTTGATTTTGAAGACTGGTTGAAATGCGTTGTTGAGTTACATCGAGATGTGTCATCGCCTGACTAAATTGCAATGCTAATTAGAAGAAATCCAACAAGTAATAAATAATGTAAATCACTAAGAAATAAATTGCAATCCTTTTAAAACAACAAAATCAATTATTAGGGTTTAGCCAGTATTCTCTAATCATGATACAGTAAATATAAATTCTATTTTAATTTTTTGGAGTACATTTGTTTAACATGTCTTAGTTTGTATTTAATATACAAATTGGGATGGTACTGTATGTATCATTCTTCCAACAATTTACACAAACTCCTTTTTATTACCTCATCAATTGTTGAAATGTCCAATGTATTATACAGATTTCACATATAAACAAAATTTAAACTTAAATCAACATTTCATGATGAACCAACCTTGCTCATGAAGTACTTTCAATGCCCGTAACCGCTCCACAACCTTTGGAAGAGTATCTGCAACGCCATTCCACTTTTCCACCATGTCGTATAATTCTGAAATCTAAAAAACAATCATAAAGACCTTTAATGAAATTATTTATAATTAAGTTAAAACAAAGCTACTGGTGAGAAAAATTTAAAATTCTTAGCAGCTTAACATAAACGAAATTTGATATAATACTACACTTGAATATAAATGTAGTTATTTGATCAAATTCAATTAAGTTCAAATATCAAATGAATTGATCTCACATGCAGGCCACTTTGACAACTTACAAAACACATTTGCTCTATATATTTTGTATTATTATAGAACTAGTTAAATATTTAATATAATTTTGTAAAATACATTTTTTGGGACTTTGAAATCTATCAGCAAGTATGCTCAGCAGTTACAAGAAAAAAACAACTGCTGTATTTGATGTACGATGTACAAACAGAGAAGGAGAGGGGGACATGCATAGTACCTAAAGTATTTATCAATTAAAGACCTGATAAGGGGGCTTGGAAGGGAACGTTCTCCTTAATACAGGCATAATTAGCAGCTGCATGGGAGGGTGCCAAGCACCCCTCTTGCTACCTCCTGAATCTACTACTGAAAATAGTCATTAATAGGAGTAGAGTTGTATTTCAAAAACCAAAAGGTCCACTGATTAATCTCAGATAAGATAGTATAATACATACTCCAAGTATCGAAATGCACACCATCGTGTCGGGATTCAATATTTCAACATTAATTATGTCATCAGTTATAGTCGAAATATTGAATCCCGACACGATGGCGTGCATTTCGATACCTGGAGTATGTATAATACTATCTTATCAGAGTTGTATTTAGTAGTACAATTGAATGTTGCACCCTGGAATAGGAATGAAATCATTTCAAACACCAACCATAGCAAGCCAATACACTCCAGAAGATCACTAAAGTTTTAATTAGTTAATTTGATGACTATGGATACCAAGGAAATTATAGAATGTGTGAAACAACAAAAATAAAGTCAATTCCAAAAAAAGGAAAATTGGAAAAATAACAATACTGTAAATCATAATAATTTTTTATATGTTTTAAATTTCAGAGGTACTCAAATATTTTGTGCAAGTAAAATTCATAAAATATCAAAGAAAAATGTACAGTGGAACAAGGAAATAAATGGTGTACGCAATTAAGAGTTTGTTTTCTTTTAACAAAACGACGTAAAATGGACCAAAGACAGAATCCAGGTTTAGCAACATCTGTATCTGCACAGGGATTTACTGTAAGAAAACCGCCACCATTTGTAACATTGTACAGTACTACAAAAGCAACAATGTAATATCCCCTCAGACACAGCATTGGAAACATTCTAACAAAGCTTGTAATGTCTCCAACTTCAAAATACATATAAACAAATTTTAGCAGCATTTAATAAATTGTTCTGAAGCAACAATAACATTTGTTTTGTTAAAGAACAGCAGAATAGAACAAAATAGTTCGTTGAAAAATAGAAAAGGATTTTTGATTTTGAAAAGTACAAAGAATTGTTAAAAAGTATAAAAATTAATTAAGAATAAAGAAAGCAGATAATACAGTTAATTTGTTTGTGGTTACCTTCCTAGAAGTTTCTGTGTCAATTTCTCTGTTCTACCTCCAACAAAAAGTTATATCAACAAAAAGTAAATGCAAAACAAAGAAGGAAATGATATACAGACACAAAGAGGTGTCTATTGAATATGGTCATAGTCTATGAAAATCATTGTTAAATCAGAAATATAAAGTACTCATATTAAATTTAAGTGCTCACATGAAGGTTAATAACAATATACAGTAGTATTACTGGTTTCCATATACTGTACCAATATGATCATCAATTCTATAGGTTGAAACCATAGGTTTGTACATTACCTAGATGTTTTACATAGCATCGACAAAGTAACACAACATCTTTGGGCGAGTTGAGTCGCCAAACAGTAAGGCAGGAGCGCCGCTAGCTACAGCTTTAACATTGGCACTGGTTCTTGCTGCTCCTCGCCCATATCTCGGTTGGTAGTACCAAGTCTTCTCGGATAAGGACTTAAAATGGAGGTCCAGTGTATACAGTACATCTGGCTCGTGTGCACTTTAAAGAACCCATTGCAGTTTTTGGAAGAATAGGGGGTTACCTCGATGTTATGGTTCCTTTCAGCCTCTGTCGTGGAATGATGTGAACATGTATCTACCATGAAGCGCCTATTTACAGCTGCTAGGTAGTCACAGACCACGGCCATACCCAATTCAGGACAATGAATTATGGGTTATTCTCCTACGTTTGCCTTTACCTTTATATCTAATACGCGTCAACGTGTAGGAGATAATTAAGCCTTGGATTTATTCGGTCTAAACACCAAGGATAACCCATTAAAGTCTGAAGAAGACTTATTTCCTGTGGTGTCCTTCTGGTGCTGATTGCAGTACACTGGGAGAAAATCCCCCACACTTTTCCAAAACAGTATGCTGCATTCTTACATGGGCCATAATGCACATGGGGCCAACGGCTAAAACATCTCATCCGAAAGACGGTGCGTTATCGCAACTTGCATTTCAGCTCTCCAGCTAAAATACAAGGAGAGCAGCGATGGGAATTGAAGTAGGAACCAAGAGATCTCCACGATTCAGCACACATACAGTGACTACCTAGTCCGTGGCTACCACCAATTAAGCTAAGTTAAGCTGCTGCTTGTCGATGCAGCAAACGAAACATTCGGGTAAGATGGTTTAATAATAATAGTGTAGTTTTATATAGCGCACAAATCCATCTAATGTAAGATGCTCAGGGCGCTTAAAATGTGGACTAGGAACTCGATCAATACTTTCTTCGCCCCTAAGGGTCCCTTCGTGTCTGTGCTACCCGGTGACCCGGTACCAGCAACTCTCGTCGTCCACCACGTTTATATAGTTACATATATATTTGCACATGATCTCCTGCAGATGGGTTTTGATTGGTTGATTGACACTCACCTTTTTATCTTTGTCGGCATCATCTAGCGCCCTCTTTTTATCCTTAGCCTGGTTGAGGCGCATGAGTATACTCTGTAGCCTGGCGTCTACGTGGTCTACTTGAATTGGTTCTAAAATACTAAGCTTCTCCTGCAGGATGCCTACTGTTTCCTGAAAGATTAATTGTTGTTTGTTTAAAACTTTGATGCATGAATTGTATGCATTTATCAGATGTGAGTGTAAACTTATTATTAACATAATTAATATTACCATTAAGATTATCATTAACATCACCATCATCATCAACATCATTGCCATCTAGTTCAGCATTATTTAATCATTATCATAATCATAATGATCATAAAACATTGTGATGATCATAATGTCTGGACCTTCCATCTGCAAAACTGCCTTTCTGGGCCCCTCTATTTCCAATTGCTGGATCCACCACTGACAAAAAAAATGTTGTTTTTTTTTATTTCTGCCATCTTTCTATCTTCAACAATATTTTGAAGACAGAAAATAAATTAATGATTACAAATTTTAAAATATAATCTAAATGTAATAACCAGACATTTAGTATTGTGTCTGTTTTTAGGAAATAAAGGAACTTCAAATAAAACTAAAAATACTTACAGTAAGGGTCTTGGAGGCAGTTTCTGCAGTTAGTGCTGACTGAAAGAAATAATGTTGTTTTAATTGATAGAATGATTGATTGATTGATTGATTGACTAAAGCAATACACTTTCCTGACTATATACAAATAAGACTGAATATATACTTGAGACCCCTAGCAAAGCAAGGGTAGTAGGCCTCTTGATGCAGTCAGATATATTTCTAAAGCCCTGTCTAGACCATCAAATTTTATTTGACAAAAACATGTGACATGTCTAAATATGGTCATGATGACATCACATCATAACCATATATAGGCACATCATGATTATATTGCATACGACAGTTTTGATTTAAAAAAATTATAATCTGACCAAACCCTTATACATCAGAGTATTCACAACATTACAGTATATTCCAAAATTAAGATAAATGAGTGACTTGTACAATTTGTAAAAACCTTTTGCTCCATAAAATTTTTAATGAAATTATAGTTCTACCTAATTAAACATAATCAATTAACTTCTTTAGCAGTTTGAGTTCAACATAACAAACACTCTTAATGTATCCATTTCATTTTTATATCACACTTAACAATATACAAACATTTAAAAAACATCTTATTCATTAAAAGTATATATACCTATATATACTAAAAAAATGATTTTTATAAATCACTCGTGATTTAAATAGAATATTGGATCTTGACTACTAGAAGGTATTAAAGACATAGTTTGATGATCTTTTAATGTAGGTCAGAAAAAAATTAAGGTGTTGATCAACGGTGAAAATTGAAATCAAGGATGTTCAAAGATATTTTTTTTAATTAGGCCTAGGCTGAAGTCTTTGTTCGTTACCAACCCATCACTCATGCCATGCATTTTTGCTGGTGAAATTGTAACCACTAGGCTTCATCACATGAAAGTATCAATTTAAATAAACTAAAGCTTTGAATGTGCTGTAGTCATACATCATACAAGTATTTTGGGCCACTCCTTGGGGGGGGGGGGAAGACAAACAAATAAACAAAACCTTGACAATGGATTTATCATGTTTTTTGTTTTTTAGTTAATGTCATGTGATCTTCAATTTAGACTTGAGATGATAAACTGTGTTTATAGATTGTTAGTTAATTGATTAGCATAATTGAACAGCTCCTTACCAGTTTCTGTGGATCTGTTCCTATACTGGCCTCCAGTCTTGCGATTCTTTGCTCTAAATCTGTCACCTAGAGAACATAAAGTATAGACATGTTTTTTTATTAATGTAGTTCATTTACTGTCCTGATTACTGTCTGAAATCTTGTAACATTTCTAGTTTTTCAGTTAATTTTATGATGATTACAAGACAAGCCATGCATGCAAAGGGGGTTCCAGCATTAAAACCTCTATTAAAAAATATGTAGTACGATTAATTATGCCAAGCTCTCGGCAGTGAAGAACAAGCAATGTAATGTGGGTTCACATTTACAAGTGGTGATATTACTCAAATTACAGTGTTGAAGCACAGGGAACTTACTAAAAAAAGACTGACTGCAGAGTTTCGACAACTGTATTATTAAAATAATAAATTTGAGTTTGCAATATTTATATTTGTTTTTCAGAATGTTTGTATTTGTTCATATTCAGTATTCCAGACATGTAAATTACCTTGTGTCCTTGTTTATGGTATACAGAGACTATATGTGGCAAAGACAAGTCAAACCAGTCACTCGTCGCAAAAATTGATTTTTTGAGTTATTAATACAGTGTTAGAGAGTAAAATTATAGCTATAAAATGGTAAAAAAATCATTCAAATCGGACATTTCCTTATGAAGTTACCATCGTTTAACCACACAGTTGTTTAAAGAACAATATATGAGAAATCAGCCTTCAAAGTTTATGATTTCAGGCATTTCTCATGCAGAAACTATCTTCAAATCCTTAAAAAGTGTTGTTTTAACAGTGAAAATGGGGAAAATAACAGCAGAGAATGATGTGTAGATATATAAAGTTTAGTTTAGCGCAATAAAATAGATTTTTTTTAATTTGACATTCCAGCATGTTTTGGCCATTTTCTCTGAAACACGATTTGCGACGAGTGACTGGTTTGGCTTGTCTTTGCCACATATGTGACATGTACTCATACAATTCCTAATCATTATCGATCTACTTGAAAAACTAACTAATTTTAGTTACATTATCGTTATGTTTACCTTTGAAGCTTGGCTATATTTAACTTGCTCAGCCTTGTAGTAAAGTTCATAGGTCACATGACCATCGACAGTTGGCTGACCTTTAGGTGGACTCTTGGCTCCCTTACTGACATCCAATTTCTTGTATGTTTCCAATTGTGACATAAGTTTTCTAAAAATATTATGTAAAACAGTTATTAACAAAGTGTGAATCACCGTGACGAAAACATCTCATCATAGAGCAAACCCGAGTTAAATAGAATAACTCGGGTTTAAGCACATCCTTTTTAGTGATTACATTAGATAAGAGCTAACCTTGACTATCAGGATTAAGGGGCCTCCTGGGGAGCATCCTTAAACAGATTACTAAGCAGTCCTGTCAGTAATCAGTAATTGTTACTGATTTATATATGTTAACCTATGTAACGTAAATATAAATAAGGTACAATGATTTTAGCAGTCCGAATCACGAAAAATGGACCAGTAAAAGTGAAAATATTTAACCCTTATATTCCCGATTTTGTTGTGCAGGCAGAAATGCGAATAACCTCTCTATACAGCCAATGCCATATTTGCATATCTGTGAATTGGTGAAGTTCTTCAAAAAAACCAATAGATTGGCTGCAATAACACTAGCCCAAAGAGTTGTTTACCGATAGAAAAGTAAGTGAATTTGTGCTCATTTCAATGTAAAATTTCAGCTGGGGTCGGTTTGTTAGAAGTTTGAGTATTTTCAAGTTGAATATATGATGTTTTGAAATACTGAGAAACTGTATCCCTTTGTAGTTGTTACAGATAATAAAGATACTTATAAATTGTGATAGAAAACGATGTGGTGGCCTAGCTAGGCCTAACTTATTCTAGGAAGAAATAGGCCTGCCTAGGCCTAGCTAGCCTGTGATGGTATGTTGAAAAACATTGACGTAGGCCTAGGCCTCAATAGTATTCATTATTTTAAATTTTCCTCAGCAAGCAATGTGTTTTGATGTGAAGTGAGTAATGATTTCAAATATAAATGAGAAATTATGAATATGAAAAATATTATAGGCCCAACCCTTTTTCACGTGAGAGTTAGAATTGAGACAATTGTACAGACTAAATTATGCAAGTCCTTTGATACATGCATCACTGATTTTCACACATTGGCAGCACCCTGCTGTTTAATGTGTATTTTAACCCTGATAGTAGATGGTGTGAAAAAGCCAAAAGGATGTGGACAGTTTAGATCAAGTGTTCACATAATGCCAGTTTTTGTTTTATGTACACTGTATTTCATTTACGATAAGTCTGTATCAGTTCACTTTTATCAGATCATTTCCTGATAGCTGCAGATACACTGTCCTAAAAGATGGGAAATGAAAGATATTTAAATTCTAAACAAAAATGAAAAAAGGAATACGACATCAACTTGTGATGACACACCTCATGTCAAAGTTCATGAATTGTTACTTAGCAATAATTACATACTTCGGAAGGTTGCCCTGTGGATCGCCAATATCCATGATGGCATCCTTGCCCAGGATGTTTTCTAGGTGAAGACCACTCAGTTGCTCTTGCATCCCTTTAACCTGCTCCTGCAGGGTGACTGGAGAGAGACCAGCAAGATCTTTCTCCTGTTTGGCAGTCTTCTGGAGCTGTTGGACTTCCTCTTCAAGTTCACGCATTTCATGCTGAAGCCGTTGGAATTTCTGTAAAGGGGTTTCCTTTCCGACACCCTCTTCGGCCTAAAAATTCAATCAAATTCTGCCAAATACAGTTACTATATCTACTTCAAACTGTAGCAAATCCAGGCTAGTATACAGCAAGAATTAAAAATGGTTAGCCAGATATAAAGATCATATAGGGCTGCTGTTGACTACACCTACAAGTTTATGATCTGAAGTAGGAATCCCTAGGCCTTCTTATGATAATCTGACCACATTGACATACAGTAGGTCTGTTTAAAATGCTGTGTGTTGTAGTGGTAGTGAGGCATTCTGTTATGAGATTCTAGAATTTTATTGTACTGTACAGTGAAATATGAACAATAGCGATCCACAATATCTAAATCAAAATAGATTATGTTATGAGTTGAATGGCTATTTTATGTTCACATGTCACAATTCAATACATTGCTAATCTTAATGTCAGTAGATATATCCACGTTTAAGAGGCTATGAGCATTATCAAAGCCAATCACAGTGCTTGAGAACTCAGAATGTTTTGCTTTTTAAACAGGCAGCAGGATCAATAAATACCTGAATTTCATTAAGAATACAAGCTCGAAGCTTACCAGTTCATACTCTGTTTTGGGTGCTACATACCCAGTTCTTCTTGTTTGTGTAATACGATCTGAAAAGTCTTTTTAGAAGGACAAAAGAAGCTTTAGTGTGAATATTCCTGCATTGACTCTAAAATTGGCTTGTAATCAATTCAAGGAATTTTGTTACAAAAGGTCTGTAAATCACTATATAGTCCAAGAAAATTATTTTTGTACTATTAATATAATTTGACGTACACTATATTCAATATCTACCCAAAGACTGAACATAATTCTCCAACATCAGACCTATCACCACCCAGTACTCATATAATATTAACAACATATTCTATTATTCTGATTAATTTTGGTTTTTTTTTGTTTTATTAATGTTGTTTATCATTTTTTTTTTATTATAATATTTACCAAGACTTCCAGCCATCAATGTTTTTTCTTTGAATCTATTGAAGGCATCTTTTGTGTCAATCTCAAGTGGCTCAACACTTTCACTATGTAACTCATCCTGAAAGTGAACAAGTAATTAATTTTAGTAAACAGTACTGCTCAGGCATATATCTTCACAGTACAATTTTTAATTTATTTATTGATATTATTTTCTTCCTCAACTCATTAACTCAAAGCATTATTTTTGAAACACAAAATTATTTATTTGATTTAGAAAAAGTAAATTTATATCGAAAAATTGGCAAAATCTGCAAAAAAAAATCTTGCCCTGTAGTTATCTACTTACTGGTTTGTGTTTTGCTTGGTCATCTTCTGGTAAATCATTTGTCTCATAAACATCAGGTTGATTATCCTACAATAAATTAATGGGCAGAAATTACAGTACATTTATTATGTATTCAAAAGACATGTCTAATTATAGTAAGCACAAGTACACCTCATTTTTAGGTTTGTGTGAGGTTTGTTCTTAATTGATCTATAATCATAATTTTGATTTTTTAGAAATCTTTTTTATAATGTACCAAATCTGATAATGGTTTCTGCCATTGTTCTTTTTCTGTGCTTGTCATTGTTTGAAGTAACTTATGATTTCTGTAAAACTGTTCCTTTGCCTTTGTTAATCATGTATGTATTATTATGAAATGAATAATAAAAAAATATATGGAAAAAAATTACAAGTAGACACATACTGTAGTGGTATCCTAGAATTTTTAACTTCTTTAAGTTTAACACATGGGAATTTCCAATAGAAAATTATATAAAAATAAATGTACAATTTGTAGATTTTTAGATAATATTATGCATATGCTTATTATTTATTCACAGGGTATATTGGCGAAATTTGGGCCGATCGAGACAACACTGTCCTAGGGGGTCCCGGGGATGTCCCCGCGAAATTTTTGTGTTCTAGACGCCCGAAAATAACATTTGAGGCGTTCTGGGCTATCATTTTTTTCTTTCTTCTTTTCTTTTTTTTTTCTTTTTATTACCTTTCAAAGGGGGGGGGGGGGGCCTTGACGTAGTCTCTTGGCCATTATCCTGTTTCTATTGTGTATTTCTTATTTTCTGTTATTGTAATTGTATTGTAAATTGTTTTTGATCGGCCAATAAATGTTACTTGAACTTATTTGAACTAGTGGTAATAATAATGATGATTTTGAATTTTAGACCATTATGATAATGATGTTGATGCTGCATCAACCTTAATTTATTACCATCCATATGCTAGTGCCATCCACCCCACACACATGCCAATGCCATATTGAAATAAGACAAATGCCGCACAGGGGTTTCACCCCCAAAAATCCTAAGACTAGCGCTCCCTAAGAATTTGTATATGACAATTTGGTGCCCACCACTATTTGAAAAATCCTGGATCCATCCATCCTTTTTTTCATTTTGTATTATTTTATTAATATGAGAACTGAACACATTATGCATTATGGAGAAGTATTGAGTTTACTTATATTTTATAGCCTAAATTAGCACCACGTCTAGGAAAGGAATTCATATTGGATGAGTTACGCCTAGGCATTGGTGTTAGGCCTAGGCCTAACCAAATTAGCTAGACTACAGCCAATAATATGCGTTTCATCGGCTGGAAAATAGGCGTGACCCATGATTTAGTTAAGCCTAGCAATTGAGTTCGAATTTCAGACAGTTCCTTGAATGCAAACAATAAGTAAAATTTAAAGCAAATATACATAAATATATCTGCATTTAATATTAATATCAAATAGACTATCATAACATGTGGGATGAATATGTGAATACGAAAAATTAATGAAAAAACGTACGATTCCCGGCAAATTTTCGTATTTCGGGTCCGCCATGTTGTCTTCTGTGCTGATGAAAAATTTATTGTGATGTTTTTTAAAAATAAAGTTCTTCTGTTTTTTATTTTAATTGTAATCACTTGTATTGTATTTTACAAAAAATATCGTTTCCTAATTTATTTATAACCTGAAAAAACGCATTATTTGTTATTATCTTTAATTTTAAGCCATGCATTCGTTAAAGTTTGTCGTGGGGTTGCGAATGATGTCATTTTCTTTTCCCATAATGCTAACTAATTAATGCGGCGAAAGATTTTGGCTGAGAAGAGTTGTAAGTTATAGGGTAGGGCGTGAATTTGTTGTGGTTTTGTCTTAATTTGTGAATTATCTGTGCTGCAGGTTATCTGTTTTGAACATAAGTTTATCAAGATTTTACATATGCTGTAAAATCTGCCGAAAAATCTTCAGTTTGTGAGCTTTAGAGGCATTTTGTTATCGCCAGTACAAGCAAAACACACCTATTTTTCTGACAAAACGGAGAAAACAAAGTTCATAGATAGAGGTCATATTTTTAAGAGAGATAATGAGTATATAGAATCAAAATTAAAAGTCACGAGATTATAGCTACTAGCCTGGGTAGCAGAGGAAGTATATAACTGTTATTTTTGGGTGTAAGGCTTACTACAATGGCTGATCCGGCAGAATGCAGCATCAAGGTTGTGTGTCGTGTACGTCCCATGAACGATGCAGAATTGAAGTCAGGTTCAAAGTTTATCGCCAAATTTCCAAAGGACGGAGAGCTAATATTAGGGGTAAGTACTTAATTAATCCGATGTTCCTTTTTATACATTTTATAGGCTAATTAATGAACAAAGGCGGTTGTTGATGGAGTCCACGTAGAGTACTGAACTTGAGTTGAAAATCATTCAAGCATGATAAAAGCTGCTGCCATTTATACTGTATTGTTTACATGCAAATTTCCAGGATTTGTTGTTAAGGGCACATAGAAAAAATTATTAGATTCTCTTTTTAAAAAAAATTGATTTTTTTTTTTTTATCCGAACAATAGTGTATTGGTGTCTTTTAATTGATGAGGGAGGGACTGTTTTGATTTACGAGTTATGCGCGCCTTGTGTTTCATTTCAGTGTGTTTTTAGCAGCAAGAGTCTGTGGAATATGTGAGTTGTGAGTCTTCACACTGTGTGATCAGCCCACCGGGTGGGTCTCTTTAGGGGCGGACCGCGTTGTTGTCTATTTTGAGCCACAACTGTGCAACACGTGAGTCTTCACCACTTGGTGGGTCCATTTAGGGATGGACCGAAGTGTTATCTATTTTTAGCCACAGTTAGCAAGCTTTTTATTTTAGCGACAGTAAACGAAAAGAATTTAAAGATGGTCTTTGCATTCATCTTTACGGCGGTAGTGTCTAGTCTTGTCAATTGGAAGAGTTTGAAGCCTGCCGAATTTGGAGCCAATTCCTTTATATTTTGTGAGCATTTGTTTTTTGCAAAGCTTTTTTATGCTGTTAATATAAATGATGCGGCAAAAAAAAAATTTCCTGCTTCAATATTTTATAAATTTTTGACGCAGGTGAAAATCTAATAATTTTTTATATGTGCCCTAATTTGTTACCTGGTTGAGTATCTTTGTTAATCACTATGGATATTCTTTCGACATGGTGTAGTGCATTAAGATAGCGCAATTGAAATTTAAGGTTAAGGTCACTTAAGCCAGCTCCACCAATCAACACATCACTGCATCGGTTTTACGTAAAATCATCGAGCAATGTCTATGCATAAATGGTATTACGCATAAGTCAAAGGCATTTTAGGCCTCCAAGTAATAGACAAATGAATCGTACAAATGTTGCTCAATTTTCTTGTCAGTAAATAATATTTATTGTTTTCTCTATGAGTCAGATTCTAAATATTAAAGTAATAATGTTCATGATGGTAAAAAATGCAGATAATTGTAAAGTCAATCTAAAAATAAAAGGAAAATAATAAAGACAACCTAGGACCAAATATATATATAGTGTATGTTTTGCCAGTGGTTGATATTCAAGAGGTTTTTTGCCAGTCCTCTTCTCTGGTCAGCTAAATTGCAAATTATGACATCTTTTCGATAGATACCTACCTAGTCTCTCGCATCTGGCAGGAGACACCAGCTTTTTGACCCCATCTTAAGCCCTCCCACCAGCCACATACATTCTCCCGCTTTTCACATCTCATTGCCAAAAACGTATCAATCTTATATTATCTTCTTGATTTTGGGCAAAGCACACGTCCGTACTATTTTCAGGCCTACAGTACCGCCATGAAATATTGCACTTTTACCTGCGCGCAGGCTTCATAGATACATCGTAGCCTGATATAAACAATCTAACCTGCGCGCAGGCTTCGTAGATACATCGTAGCCTGATATAAACAATCTAAGCAAGGCTACACGAAGCGAACCTACGAAGCAAAAGCATGTTGTTTATTTGTATGTGCAGAAAGAGTGCTGTAGCTTACTGGAATAAACAATGTATTGTTTGATAATTTGTGAATGGCAAACACGAGTTTAGACCGTTAATTTAAAGTATGGAACTGTTTTTCAATAAGAAAAACGTACACTTGACTTCATGGGAGTCTCCTCTTCCACTCGCTGTCCACGACAGGAACTTGTTTGTACTGCTGTATTATTTTTTTAAATTAATTTAGCCTAGGCCTAGCTTATTTTTTATTTACAATTATTTTACCTCATTTAAAATGTCAAAAAAACGAGTCCTCAATGACAATACACACATGTGAAAAGATTGTTCATCAAATGATATTGTCTTGATTTAGTAAGATAAATAATAAATATAAAGGAGAATTAACGTCCGTTGGTTGTAACATTC